ATTGATTACACATTAAAAGCTTAACAACCACCCATCATCCAAACACATAATAAAAATTAATTTGGTAAAAAAAAAATAAATATGTAAAAAAATTATCAATTTTACATAATTTTATCTTTGATGGGTGTAAATAATTTTTAAAAATTCACAAAATAATTTTTTGACATTTATTTTTGTCAAATTAGTTTATATTTTATCAAATTGACGACTTTGCCCTTGAAATTGAGCAATGGTATCTTCAATTGTCCTTTTTTGGATCAAGATTCAAAATTCTGGGTCAAATGTGTCACAATTGAAAAGTCAAACTATAGGAATTATTAGTAATTTGTCCAATGTTTTGTTAAAAGACAACACTTTCGTGAGTATAAAATGGAGAATTTTTTTTAGGGTCCCTAGTATTAAGATTTTATACCATAAAGGACATTCAATATTTTCATAATGTCTAAGGTCCCTCGAATCAATCCAGAGAAAATTCGATCCAGAGAATTTCTCTGGACTTCCACAGAGAAATTCTAGTTCCAGAGAAATTTTCTCCAGAGAAATTCTTGTTCCAAAGAAATTTTGTTCAAACCAGAGAAATTCTGATTCTAGAGAAATTTTGGTTCTAAAGAAATTCTCTCTAGAAAAATTTTGGTTCCAGAGAAATTCTGCTCAAACCAAAGAAATTGAGAAAACATTATCCACTATTGGCGTTGCATAGAAGTATTGTTGAAGAACAAAGAAATTGGAAAGTCACAATCCCAAGTCAATATCTCAAAAATCAGTTGTTTAGGACACAAATGATAGTCTAGTCCTTAAAACTATTACATACCGCCAAATATATATGCATCCTAAGAAGTCCTAATTACATTAATAAGAAAAGAAAAACTTAAGATTGGATGACTACCTTTGCAAAGTACATTGCAGGATTATGTACACATTGTACGATTGTCAAAAGGGCAAGCTCAAATTCCCCTGAAGTTTCATTCGTTATAGCTTATAATTATCTCAATTTGTTAAAAATCATAACAAGAATTTACGATAAAAAGAGACGGTGACGACATTAAGAACAAATTATTTTTTTCAGTGAGTTCCCATACATGTTTTGGTAAGAAGAATCTATAGCAGCCAAATGTGCCCTGCTTATTACAATATATGGTTTCTATAAACTAAGTACAAGAGTCATTATGTTTGTAGGCTTTGTATGGTTTTAAGGTATATACAAAGCTAGATATTCTGGTTCAAACTAGAGAAATTCACCATTACAGTGGCCCAGAGAAATTCTCTCGAAATTTCTCTAGACATCCCACTCCCATTCTCCAGAGAAATTCTCTCCAAATTTCTCTAAACTTTCTACTCTCCAAATTTGATACAAACTAGTTAATTAAATAATCTCTTGCCACCAGATTTGACTTCATCCACATGGCCACTTTTACCTTGATAAGGTCGTAAAGTTCTTCAAGATTGGGCTAGACCTCATTGAAAATAACTTCATTTTTGTATTTCTACACAGACCAAAAAGTTGCTGCTGGTATAGCTTTCCATTTTCCAGTTCCCCTTTTTTAAACTTCTATCCACTCCACCAATGAAGCAAACTTTCCACTGTACCTAGTATAGCCCATTGCACTCCCTACCATTTGATGATGCTAGACTAGAGTTTCCAAACGAATGAGCAATGTAACATTATGTGATTTACAGATTCATCCTCTGTTCTGCAAAGGGCACAAACTGATGACCATTAAATCAACAGCATAGCAACACTCGTCAATTGACCATTAAATCAACCAACGTATTCAAAATTTATTTGAACTAGTTAACAAAAAAACCAAGTAGAACATTCAAATTGTTGAAACAAACACACACAAAAAAAGGATATGAAATGGGTATGAGGAAGAAGAAGAAAAAGAATAAAAAACCTCCTGTAGGAAATCGTGGTCGAGCCTATCGGCGATTCGAGAGGTAGTGAAGATAGTGACGACGAGGAGAGAGAGAGAGGGAGGACGAATGCAAAAATATAGGTGCCAATGCCGAGACTTACTCCGGTCACCATAGACAAGCCTCCGGTCGTCTTCCGAAGCGATATGGGTATGAAGGGAGAGTTGAGTACAAGTTGTTGGAGTGGGGTTGATGTTGATTTGGGGGTTTGAAAATGGAGAGTGTGAGTAGTGGTTGCTGGGTAGTTATAGAGGATGATGCCCACGCTCGCCATGGATTACCAATCTCCACCTTTTATGGCTCCCTCCTTGTATTGTTCTTGTTGAGAGAAATACCAATCTATTTTTGTCGGAGATTGAGTGCCATGGTTGTGAGAGTCAAATTTCTCTGTGATATAAAGGTGTGGGGTTGAGGGACTTTACACATCACAAAATAATATTATAGTCTCTTCCATTACTAAAAATGAGAAAAGGACCTTAGACCAATTTTCCCATATAAAATTTGGTAAGATAACACTTTCGTAAGTACAAAATTTGAAGACACCATTAAATCTGTGGATAAAATTCTTGTTGAGATAGATAATGCAAAACAAAAAAATAACAAAAGTACTTTCCCACATTGGTTAGAGAAATGGATGAACTTTTTTCCATAGATTTACATTAAACACAAAAATAGAATAATGAGCACAAGAAACAAAATAAATTATTAAATTAATTTAATGACACCATAATTAAATATTATTGAACCATGCAAAGCAAGTTGAAATGGTAATTATGACGAAATAAATATTACTATCTTATCTTATTGAATATGTAAAAATAGATCTTAATGTGTATATATGGAACAAAATAATTCTTTTTAGACAAGGTATTTTCATTGTTAAAACAATAAAATTAAAATTAAAAATTAGATTGAAATCAAAGAGTAAAAAAGTCTGTTTACTAATAATTGATGAAATTTGAAATGGTTCATTTCTTTTTTAATATATTATTTTATCTTGATTTTTATCTATTATTAACTAGATTGTGTTTTGTTTTGTTTTGTTAATCATACAGCTAGTTCCTATATATATATTTTTCTTTTTTGATAATCGGGTGTTCAGATCAATTTATACGTACGTTAACTAATTTCGAAACTCACAGAAAGCACCTCCTCTATGTGAATCGGGCAAATCTTGAGCAGAATCCGTGGACGTGGCCCCAAGGAATTGATAGCACCTGTGAGAGTTGAACCCGAGACTTATATAAAGTACACTCCCAGGCTTCAAGTTGCACCTACTAAGCTAATCCTTTAGAATTCCTATATTTTGATTTTTGTGTCATTTTGGTCCATATACTATGAATTGTTTTGGTTTTCAATAATGTTAGAGATTCCAAAAGTTTTACCAAATTTTCTATCAAATATCTCTGATGAGTGTGGGACCTGCATAATTCAGATAGGTATGGGACTCACACTATGTGGGTCCCACATACATTACCCTTTGATTTTAATATTCAATTTAAAATGCTGTATCAATTTGGTCTAATTAATTATAACAGTTATCATTTTTAATTAAAAAAAATAAACAAATGCCAACACGAGTAACATTTGTCTTGTCTGTAAAAGTAAAATTATAAACTTATTCAAGTTAAGTTAACTTTTCAGTAACAATTTTTTTGGTCAAAAATTCTAACTAGAGTTATCAATTGGATCAAATTATCACAAAAATTAAAATTAAAAGTCAAAATTAAACTAATTAAAAATATAAAAACTAAAATTACACAATAAACCAAAAAGGGAAATTTATTAGAAAGTCTTATTTTGGAAACTGCTTTACATTTGGTCCCACATTTTAAATGGTTGATTGTGAAGTCTTTATTAGGTGTAATGTGTGATCAATAAGCCCTTTTTCAAACGTGGATGAGTATTGGTTTTGACAAATATACCCTCACTAGTTAATTAGGGGAAGTTTATTTTTTATTTTTTGAAATGTGTGATACTCCAATGTGACATGTATTAATGTGATACTTCAAAAGAATTAAAAACTCCTTAGTGTACTTTTTTTAAATGTGATAACGTGACAGGTATGATGTGACATTCTAAAATTTTTACTCATCCTTAGTGTACTTTTTCCAAATATGACAACTTGATAGGTATGATGTGACAGTTTTAAAAAAATAGAAATATACTTTTTTCAAATGTGACAACGTGGCGAGTATGTTGTGAAACTTTAAAAAAATTAAATTCTTAGTGCACTTTTCCTAAATGTGACATGTACTCATTCTTAATGTACTTTTTCCAAATGTGACAACGTGGTAGGCATGATGTGACATTGCAAAAAAAATAAAAACTCCGTAGTATAATTTTTTCAAATGTGACAACGTGGTGAGTATATTGTAATACTCTAAAAAAATTAAAAATTTCTTAGTGTGCTTTTCCTAAACATGACATGTGACATTTCAACGTGGCAGATCCAATTTGATTGAATTACTGCGTGTCTTTACGTCACGCGCCAAAATACAATTAGTAAGGAATTCATGTTCCACACTACGCGTGTTAAAACAACAAGCTTTTCGAACAACGTGACACACAAACACGCCACAATCTTCCCCATACATAACCACGTCACCTGTCTCCCAATTCTACTAACAAGGCAAAACAATCAACAAAATAATTTAAAGAACCACTCAGTCACTAAAAAAATATTTAAGATCTTATGAATTACAGGTTTACAAAACGGGATTTACTGGTCAATTCCCTAATATATAATTGAGATTACTGGCATAATTTATTTTTTGTTTTTGAGTGATGCTATATGCACCAATTAGTGTACTAACTAATGTACCAACACTAGTTATGATGTCACTCATTATACAAATTATAAATATTAAAAATATCTTAAATTATACCATATCATCATTTAATATATTAATTAATACACTAATTAATATATATAGTATTAGTGTTTATTTTTTCCCCTCTCTCTCCATACCAAAACTTTAAAAGTATCCATAAAGTATATATTAAAAATTTAAAAGAGAATTCTAAAAAGAATAAAATCCCTATCGAAAAATGTAAAATAAATAATAGAATCCAAATCCCAATTTGCCCCCTGCAATTCCCAACGGAAAATCAGAGGAATTTGTTGGCCCCCCTTCCTCTCTCTCTCTAGTCTATATACCACTCCGCATGTGTTTGGTTTCCAGGAAAGCAGACGAGAAACTTTTGGAAGAAAGAAAATATGTTTTGCTCAATGATACCGCGGAAGAGGAAGACAGGGAAGGTTCCGGTGCACCTGAACGTGTACGATCTCACTCCCATCAATGGCTACGCTTATTGGCTCGGCCTCGGTGTCTACCATTCTGGTGTACTAGGTTCGAAAATTTTCATTTTTCTTTCTTAATTTTCGTTACCTCTTCGTTTCTTAGAAACCAAACAGAAAGTTTCTGAAAGAAAGTGATGCTGAGTGTAGATTTAGTTGCTTTTATTTTCTTATCTTTCAGGAGTACAATTCAATTCTCTGGGTTATACTTTTGTATTAAGATGCTTATCTGTCGCATAGATCTGAATTATTTACAAAATTTTTAATACTCTGTTTGGTTATTGGGAAAAGACAGGAAAAAAGTAGTTTTTTCTCCTGGAGTTCTGAGTCTTGCCTTAAAACAGAACAAAATCCCTGGTCCATTCCATTATTTAGGGTTGTAAAAAAAACCCACATCAACAGATCTTAATTTTAAATCAAAAAATGATTTAAGGAAAGTTATAATGCTTATAATAACATGTAAATTATACACTCTTTAATTTTGATGTGTTGCAAGAACCTTGTGAAATGAAATGGAGATTTTCATTCCATTCATGAAATGGAGAGGATCAAAATCCCAACCCAAGAAAACACATTGTTTGGTTACTGTGTTGGATAAAACCTTTTGTATACTTGCCGCCTATATGTGTCAAGGTCCAATTGAATGCCTTGCACACGTAGCAAACAGCTAGAGTGATTTGTCTGGCAGTTAGGCCAGAAAGATACCCGAGGTCCAATTGAATGCCTTGCCCACGTAGCAAACAGCTGGAGTAATTTGTCTAGTGGTTAGGCCAGAAAGACACGCTGATGCCTCATTCTTAATAAGTGTAGACCTCCTATTTATAGTGAGTGTGGCTCGCCCTAAAGTTCGTGGGTCATGCTTAGTATGCTTGTCCTTCTTTTGATCATCCCACCAGGACGGGCTGTTTATCATCATCATTAGGGACTTTTACCAATATACTGGTTCTATTAGGCAGCCACCTGTATGGGTGTCGGACACCTTTCTGGGTTAGTTGAGACATTCCCCAATAAGAGTCCGCTACATCAGTGATGGTAGCTGGCGCTGGCTTGACCTTTGTGCACTATGCTTGGCATTCCTTTACCTTTGTCGATCATCTTTAGGTTGTTGTCCTTTCACTTTGCCAATCGCCTTCAAGACTGCCTACTTGTGCTATGTTGCCGATCACTGTTTTCTCAATTGGCCAAACTATCAACCAATATGTTATTGTGAGCTTAATTTTACCTCTCCCAGTAATAGTTTGGGGTTACAATGCAGAACCAAAAAATTATTTGGTTTCAGATGTTTCTTCTTTTTGCCTTTAGCAGATCTGAAGTATGTGTAGTTTATGTTCTACATCATTTGCCATAATGACCTAAATATGGGCCCAAAAAAAAAAAACGTAACTGGTGATTACTCTTGAAATTCAGATACTTCTGAAGTTCTGATTACTTTTCCTAGTCTACTTTTCTTTTTTATTTTTTCTCTCTTGCTACAATGTGGATCTTGTTAATTAGGGTTACTGTTTTTGATTTTGGTAGTTCATGGGGTTGAGTATGCATTTGGTGCACATGACCATCCAACGACTGGAATATTTGAAGTGGAACCGAAGCATTGCCCTGGTTTCACGTTTAGAAAATCAATCTTGATTGGAAGAACAGATATGGGTCCCAAAGAGGTCCGGACATTCATGGAGAAACTTGCAGAGGAGTACTCGGGAAACACTTACAACCTCATCACCAAGAATTGCAATCACTTCTGCAACGATGCATGTCTCCGTTTGACTGGGAAACCTATACCCCGCTGGGTTAATCGACTTGCTCGACTTGGTAAGAACGCATTTACATAACTAATTGAGTTTTAATATTTTTTATTACTAATGATCTGCTCTTTCTGGTGTTTGGTTTGAAGTTATAATAAGCATGCATTTGCCTACATAGACAAAATTGCATACTAGTTTTGGACGATATTATTTTTAGAGCCATTTTGGTTGCTTCAAAAGCTTCTTGAATTTTTTTGTGAGCTGCCTCATTTGATTTTTGTTATATTGTATCTTAATTGTGTTCCCATGTGAACAAAATCAGAGAAAAGGTGATATGGTTTGCCGTGGCCATACTTCACTCTGTGATTGGTTGGTACATGGACCACCAAATTTAGGTAGTCCTATCTAATCCATTATTTTAATCTGTTAGGAAATTAATTTGTTCTTTCGAGAAAGCTCACCTAATGGTACCAACAGCTAGGTGAAAGACAATTTGCCCAGAGTGTTGCTTCTTGGGAGTGAATGAAAGAAAGAAAAAGTAAAAATGAAAATTGTATTTGAAATCTATCTGTGACAGATTATTTTTTGAGGGATCTGTGGGTACGTCATAATAAGTGAACTTATTGTCTAATAAGTTCTATGATAATTAATGGTGTTTTTCATCAAACGCTATTAAAAAACGTCACTAATTGTTAATTTTCAGCGACAATTTAAAAATTGTCACAAAAAATGTCATTAATTATAAACTTTAGCGACATTTTAAAAAAATCTGTATGAAAAAACGTCACTAATTTTTAACTTTCAACGATAGTTTGAAAAATTCATCACAGAATTATGTTACTAATTGTAAATTTTAGCTATAATTTATAAAAACAATGACAACAAAAAGTCACTAATTGTTCATTTTTAGCGACAAGCAAAAAATTATCACAAAATTATTTTTAGTGCTAATTTTATTGAGACTTATTTTCAATAGAACTTTATGGGAATTAAGTCTAATTATTACAACATATTGGTAGTGTACCCTTATTTTTCTTAATTCCTTCATAATTGTAATATTCTTTGTTGTATTGGTGCATTCGTTTTGAAGGTTTTCTTTGCAATTGTGTGCTCCCGGCGGGTTTGAATGAGACGAAGGTGCGACATATTAGAGAAGAAGATAGAGCTTATGAGAAGAAGAAGCTAAGAAGTGATCCAAGTAGGTTTATATCTCCTTCAGGTTCTGAAGCCAGAAGAAGTAGACACAGATCTCATCCTCCTCCATCTCCATCATTGATTTATTCTTCTTCTCCCTCACCCTCGACTGTGAAGCTTTAGCAGCAGTTTGTTTTTGGAACTACAAAGGATTATTATTATTATTATTATTTTCAATTTTTTTTTGTGTGAGTGTGTGAGAGAAAAGCAACAGCAACAGCAACAGAAGGATGGGGAAAAATCAAAAATTTTATATATGTTATATGGTTCTGGCAACATTTTTTTTTTTACAAACAGGTGTTGAGAAATGTTGCGGTGTTGAGAAATGTTGCAGTGTTTCTGTTTTTGTAAAGTTTTTTCTAGTTTAAATTAAATGAACAATCTGCTTTCCACTTCAACGTAACTTGTGAGCAGAGAGCCATCTGTAATTGACAAAGTAGCACATAGAAATGTTGATTGCGTAAAGCCTCCTAAAAAACAATCTTGTAAATCTAATAGAATTCTCTAGTAGCACAGCTGTTTTATGGGCATATGTACAAATGTTCTGTTTGTTCTTTTTAAATTTAAATTTACATTTTTATATAATAACTGGATAAGTGGCAACAGTCAGATTGGAAACACTTGAAACCCATGAGTTCAGGGTCCCGCTTGAAAAGGTTGGTTAGTATGGATGAGCTGTTGTACCCTTGTGATTAAGTCCTCAAAAAGTGTTTTTAAGTTGGTGAAATATAGTTAGATATGTGCTGTTATGGAGAGAAATGGGGTCTGTATCTATATGAATTAAAATAGAGAGCTTCTCTTCGGTCCTAAACCAGATTTAGAGGGTGTTATTGGATCCGTGGGGTCTATCATAGGTCCCGTTTCGATAATTCGAACCATGAAATGTGTAGAACTCGTCGAATACTATATGCCTGTAAAAAGTCACGTTGTTTGAATATCGATAGTTATGTAATCAAATCAGTTTTGTATAAAAAAAATGAACGGTGAACAAATTAACGGTTGATCGAAAACTGTTCCGATAAAATAACTATCAATATTCGATCAATGTGATTTTTTACAGGCATATAGTACTCGACGATTTCTACACATTGAACGGTTCAAATTATCAAAATGAGATCTATAGTGAGCCTCCATAAGTTCATCAACACTGTCTAGTCCGATTTAAGACCGGAGAGAAGCTGCTCTCATTAAAATATATTTTGAGCTTGATAGTAACATTTAAATTTTTGTTGGTTGTTTTTTATTTTTTTTGGTCTGCAACAGACCAGTAGGGACATGCCATCACACCATGTGGTTGGTCGAAGTGGCCAAACCATTGTAACAAGGGTGCTCAGGCTACAGTTCCATAGACTTCTAAGAGTATAGATCCAAGGACATTTTTTTGGGCCCATAAGGACAACACATAATTTGCTTGGGTCCGTAAGGATAGTGCCACCATTCATGTGCATTTGTATTTGTTTGGATCCATTATTGGTTTAAATTGGCCTCTATTTGATAGATTCAATAGAAGGAGACGATAGATTCAATTTTTTTTTATCCATTTGATAGCCCTAGCCTTATATGAGAATTTGAACAGATAAAATAAAAAATTCAACAAGTAGGTTAAAATAATTTGGATACATAGGTTCAAAAAATTCAACAAATAAAATAAAAAGTTGAATAGATAGGTTCAACAGATCATTTAAAAATATTAAAATAATTTAAACAAATAAATTAAAAATATTAAAATAATTTTGACAAATAGATAAAAATTGAATAGATAGGTTCAAAAAATTGAATAGATATGTTCAAAAAATTGAATAGATAATTTTTTTTTTGAACACATAGGTTAAAATAAAAATTTTAACAAATAAGTGGCATTTTTTGAACAAAATCTATTAATAGACTTTTGATTAATAAATGTTCTTATGTCCCCAACAGAATCATCATTGTCCTTGATGACTTTTTGAGAACAAGGGAAACATTGTGTTAATAAACAACAACATTACATAGGAGTTTTCTTAAGTGTGCAAGTGCACACCATGTGCCACTTACACAAAAAGTGTAAGTGTAAGGTGTAAGTATAAGTATAAGGTGTAAGTGTAAGGTGTAAGGTGTAAGTGGGTTGCACATGGTGTGCAACCTCAAAAAAGGTGTAAGTGTAAGGTTTAATTTTTTACAAAAGGTATAAGTGTAAGGTGTAAGTGTAAGTGTAAGGTATAAGGTGTAAGGTGTAAGTTGCATACCATAACCAAACCCCATTACATAACCAAGTCTCCAAAGAGCCATCCCAACCAAACAATAAAACAAAAAATAAACAACAAAAAATAAATCCGCTAAAAAAACAACTATGATTTAGGAAAAACTATCGATCTTTTCAAAGATGTAGTTTGGCAAGCAAGATCTGCTTGAAAGTACGCTTTCCTCGTTGATGTTGTCCTCGTCGTTGCTGCCCAACTCCATCGCTGCCGCCGTCAGAAGCTAGAATTGAGAAAGAAGTACATACACACACAATAGTATGTAAGAAAACTTGAGAGAGAAGAGAACCATTGTTAGTGTCCTTAATGACTTATAGAGGTGAAAATATGAGTATATGAATGATTTTTCCTTTTAAGAATAGGTTCAAAACATGTTTTTAATTAATAAAAAAATTGCGAACATGTTTTACATTGAAGTAAAAAATATTATTAAAAATAACATTTTTATTCATGTTATGTTATTATAAATTTAAATAGTAATTTAGAAAGGAAAAAGGAAAAATGTAACTAAAATATATTTCATTTAAATTTTACTTTTTTTTATTTATTTTTAATTTCTACTTAAATTCAGGGATGGCAATGGGTAGGATATGAGCTAGGAGCCCCCTACCCCACCCCTATTTTCGCCGCTTGCTTCTACTTCCAACCCGACCCAACCCTCATGAAACTCTCCCCCTACCCCCACCCAATCCAACCCCACAAATATAACTCCTATCCTCGACCCTACCTGATCCACAACACAATTAGAAATTTAGCAATAATATTAAAATTTAATAATTAAACTAGAAAATGATATTTATAATTAAAAAATATATTATATATTATACATATATTAAAATTATATTATGTAAACAAAGTATAACGCAGCGGAATAAAAATTATGGTCATACCTTTCAAACAGAGTCTAAGTTGAAGGATCTCGTGGGTAAATCACGTGCTTCCTGAATCTGGTCAATCAACCCAGTAATGGGGTGATATTACAATAGTGAATATCACCCATACAAACCACAGTACAAATGGCTTTGATCGTTGTTTTTGGGAGATAGTCAGTATATGGGAAAAACTCAAACATACGTTATTTTTCACTTAATTACCCATATCCCATATATCAGATATATAATCTATTTATCTCATTTATCCATATTTGTTATATGAGATAATATTTGATATCTATATCATCTATCCATAGCAGGATATGATAGATATATATCCTGAGTGGCTATCCAAATAGGTTTGAATTCAAATTCAAAAACCCATTTGGATAAGGTTCAAAAGGCTGAAAAGGGTCATGCCACATGGGCGCCCATTTCTAACATCTCCCACTCGCACATGAGTTGGCATGACACTGCCACATCTCTATCTCAGTCTCCCCAAAAATGAACAATCTCATACTAGCCAATGCACCGTGCGACCGCTGAGAACACCTACAAGTGGGAGCTCTATACTAGAAACTCAATATGAGTCAGCATAGAGACATCAACCCAAAAAGAACAGAAATAGTGTCTCATGTACCCAGACCCATCTAGCTACATCAGTCCAAAAACATCTCTAATCCCTCAAAGAGCATGTTTGACTCTCCTAGGTCCCGCATTATATTCACACCCAATCAACATCCTACAAAGAGCGATGTGAGTTGTCGACAGTGAATATAGAGCAGAGATATAGAATTAGATGATCTTCCCTTCACACTCATATCATTCAATTTGAAATTGACCGCTTTTCTAGTAATGTCCCTTAAAGCCGAATCATACATGACTGCAGGCAACATACCAAAGTAGCTGAACATCAACTCCTCATCTTATGACATAGTCAAAGGTCACAAAAGGCACAAAGTGAAGTCATTTAGGGAAAAATGACTTTTAGGACTCATACGGTGAAGAAGCAGGGATCCATTCTTTCACCTCGCTAACGGGTCAATAAGCACATGCAGTATGAATGCACGTTATAGTGGAGTAACTCTTCCAAAGAGTGATGTTAAACTCACACACTATACAGATCTTAGTCTAGTCGTCCTTAAGCGCACAAGTCGCTTCCTAGCGTCTAACTCGAATTCTCTATTTGCTCGCCTCTCAGGCATCAAATAAGATCTCGCATCTGGCTATCCATAACAGGCACATCATGGAAAAAGTGGGTACTCTCATATCCATGGTCGGTCTCTAACAAGACCTCATCTTGGCTCCAACCAAGGCGACATAGCTAGTGGATAATTTTGGCTTTTCTATTTGCTCCAAATACAATAAGCCACTAGTCTCATCCTTACTCGCTACCTAGCGCTAAGGGCGATTGCTTGTGTGAGTGAGCCAATCTTGCCTGCTAACATCAATTTAATTATTTTGTGTATGCTAATTCACAAACCATTGCAAAAGGTAGTAAACATAAATGCGTAATAGAAACAAATATGAATACTAATGGCATAAATATCCCAAAAAATATGAGTTCAACTTAATACACATAAATATATCACCACCTACGTAGTCCTAAAGCCCTAACATGAGTAAGATAAACATCTCTAGCAATGGGCTTAGTTAAAGGGTCTGCAACCATGCGACTCGTAGGGATGTGCTCCAGGATCACTTCTTTCTACGCCAAAATGTCTCTGATAAAGTTGAACCTCACATCAATGTGTTTGGTTCTGCCATGGTATTTAGGATTCTTAGCGTAAGTGAGTGCAGCCATGCTGTCACAATGGATAGTCACAGGGTCTGAAGTGTGTGTGACAACATCCAAATGCTGAAGGAATCTCCTCAACCATACGGCTTCCTGAACGGCAGATGAACAAGCCACAAATTCAGCCTCCATCGTCGATAAGGCGATACAGGATTGCTTTTAACTGCTCCAAGAAATAGCGCCATTGCTAAGCAAGAAAGCATATCCTGAAGTAGACTTACGCTTATCTAGGTATCCTCCCCAGTCAGCATCACAATAGCCAACTAGATGTAGATCTGAACTCTGGTAGCAAAGTGTGTAATCTGTAGTCCCTCTAAGATATTGTAATATCCTCTTAACTGCTTTCCAATGAGCTGGTCCTGGGTTGGATTGGTAACGACTCACCAATCCGACTGCATAACAAATGTCAGGACGTGTACACATCATAGCATACATCAAGCTTCCAACAGCATTTGCATAGGGAACACGGGCCATCTTTTCATTTTCTTCTTGAGTCTTAGGACCCATATCAAGGCTTAGGCTCTCGCCTTTTGCAACAGGAGTGTCAATGGGTTTGCAGCTCTGCATCTGGAATCGCTCTAGAATAGTCTTAATGTAAGTCTCTTGAGACAAACCAAGAAGTCTCC